CCCCTCCCCACCCTCTGGGTTTCTGAGACTCCTAACTGTCTAAGGGAGTAGAAAGCTCAGTCTTTCTCCTGCAGAGCTGCTGGCGGTTTCGAACTACAGGCTGTGTGGATCGCAGCCCAACTAGTAAGCAGGACACCACCAGGGCTCCCAAGGGGCTTAAGCAGTGGTGCTTAGAGTGTGGTCCCTAAACCATCAGCACCAGCAGCATCAAAGGGAACGGTGTAGAAACACATATTTTTAGGCTCTCTCCAAGATCTACTGAATCAGCTCTTGGTATGCAGGAGAGCCAGTACTATGCTAGAAGGATCCTTCCAGGGGTCTCTGGGGCATATGCTGGTGTGAGAACCCGGAGCTTGGGTTACTACTTAAATGTGTCAAATGATTACAAAGCCTAGACATCCAAATCGCCCCGTGAAAGGTAAAAGAATAGCAATGGGCAGGACTTCCCGCTGAGATTCTGGGTTAGTGCATATGAAGTGGGGCTTGGTCACAATGAAAACAGCTGTCCCTTCATTAGCAGGGACATTCTGCTGCAGACCCTCCACCCCAGACACAGCCTTATCTACAGGGGGCTGGGCCCCTAGTCCACAGGTGGTCTAGAAAAGCACCAAGAGTTATGAGCAGCTGGCAGGAGCTTAAACTAAGTTGGAGTCTCTGGATGGTACACATGGTTAGCATGCTTGTCTGTTAACCAGAAGGTTGGTGGTTCAAGGCCACTTGGAGGTGCCTTAGAAGAAAGACCTCATCTGAAAAATCAGCCTGCATGTACCTACTGATACATGCAGGGTTTTCATGAGTTGCCGTCAAACTTGACAGCAGCTGGTAGACAGAGCTGGGCTTTAAGTGCAAGAGTTCACAACAAGCCTACGAGTTCTTTGAGAGAGTTACGGTTTATTGTGCCAACCTGGCTGATAAACACGTGTGGGATTAATTGAAGGGTGGAGAGATAAATGGCTCCGTGAGCTTCGCCCTTTTGGTTCTCTGGTCTCTTGCTCTCTGATGGTTGGACGAGTCTTAGCTGGCAAGGCTCACTTCCTGTGAGACATCCCTGAGGAGAAGCCACATGGACCTACCCTGATGCAGCCCTGGGCGCTGGAGCAGCCGTGTGGAGACCCCTGCCAGCGCTGAGATGCTTATGCCACCCCTGGATTCAAAGACTTTCTACCACTAACCTGTGACCCTTCTGCATTCGACGTCATTTGTGTGTTTTGTGGGTTTGAGGAGGACTTTGTAGATCAGTGTCGGACTTATGAGCTGGGACTGGACTGGGTTGGGATGCTTCCTGAGTGTACACTTACCCTATATATGAAACTCTCTCTTAGACATATATGAGTTTCTATGGATTTGTTTCTCTAGTCTACCCAAACTAACACATTATTAAAGTTGTAACTTTACAGATGAAAAAAGAGGCACAAAGATATTAACAGAAGTACTCACTGTAATTAACACCACTAATAAATCTGGGAGCCAGGATTACAACCGGGTTCTACTTAACTCCAGCAGCCACTGCATTTGCCTCCTTGAGATCAAAGAGGTGAGACCCATCACATTCCCTGTACCTGTGATTGGAAACTCACAAGTACAGAGTGGTACAAATCTCAGTACGGGACAAATGAGCCTCTAACCCAGGTATCACATCTAGGAAATAGTGTCCTCCTCTGCACATAAATGCACAGGGGAAGCATGTGCCACCTAGATTTCAGTAGCTTCTTCTTGGACCCCCAAGAGGCACGATGTTGAGAATATTGACACCTCCCTACCTCCTTGGCATAAGTCTGTCCCCGTCTTAGCATGCACATCAGTGAATGCAGACCAGTGATGTCACGGGGGTGGGGGGGGGTGGGGAGCCCTGGGGCCAGACCACGCCCAGTGATACTGTCCAAGGGTGTGACACTAAAATGACCATCTGTAACATCCTTGTGTTTCAGCAGAAACTTATTATTGCTTATAAAAATATCCTGGTAATAGTAAAAACAACAAACACATTTTTGTAAGCTCAGCTTATGTGTATCAACACCCGTACAAAACTGTGTGCTAATTTACTTGTTTGAGCCTTCTGATGTGCTCTGGTCCCTTGCCACCGGCACGCCGTCAGTCACAGGGAGCTGTGCGCGCCTGGTCTGCTTGCTCCGCGGCAGATGCTAGTATTCGCGCCTTAGGTACTTTTCTTGTGGCTGATGGTGTCGAAATTCCTGGTGTTTTAGCTATTACATTGGCACATTTGTGGATGTAATCAATAACTTCCTTTAAGGATGAAACAGTTATTACAGGAAACAGAGGAGACAAATCAGGAAAAGTTCCCAATCAGCTACTAATAATGCTGTGACTAACAATAGTGCAATTCAATGAAGACTTTACAAAACAACTTTGTGGCTCGTACTCATGTACTCTAGAAAAAGGACATCCTCTCAACCATGTTCCCCACATAGTATTTATTCTGTGGGGAAAGCTGCTGTGGCCCGGTCCTGGAGGAGACCCATGGGGCTGCCATCAAGAGTTGCCACACAGGGTGATGCGCACCCCAGGGGCACCAATGGAGCAGCCGGCGTCCCCTGCCCGTCATAACCCAGCCCAGAGAGAAGGACACAAAAGACAAGCAGACGACTGAGTAGAGAAATATAAAGTCATTTTACTACTAAAACTGTATTTTCCCTGAAGTCCTCTAGTCCCTGTGGAAGGCACGGAGCTGAGTTTCAGCCCAAGACATCCAGCCTAGGCTGTCCTCTGCGGGCCGCGATTTGGAGGGAGATGTGATAGAGCTCCATCGCTGCCTTCGCATCTTCCACTGAGCTGTGTCCTTGCTGGCTGTCCTGCAGGCACAGGGATGGACTGTGAGCTCCAGCGGCCCAGTGCGGGTGTCTCAGCCTGGCTCCACCCTCCACAGAGAAACCCCTTCCTGCCCCACAGGGCTCCTTTTCCAGCCACTCCTAACTGGGTACACCTGGGTCCTAGGACGCCTCTCCTGCCATACCACTCCGGACTATTAATAGTTAAGGAGACAGTTTGGGCCCTGGCTGGCATATGGGAGGGCACTTGCCCTATGTAGTGGGCCCTCAGTGAGGTCCTTCTCCTGTGGCATCTCTGGGACTCCTCCCTTATTATCAGCTCACTGCTACAGATGGGGAAATATTGGCACAGAGAGGCTGCCCACCCTCACCCACTCTGCTCGACAGAGAAGGAAGCTGAGGGGGGTGCAGAGGAACTCCCAGAGGAACAAGACACCATCCGGAGGGGTGGGAGAGGGTGGCGAGAACGAGCCCAAGGTTTGGAATCAGACCCAAGTTCAAATCCCAGCTCTCCTCTTTACAAGCCCTGTGAATGTGGACAGACACACCTCCGTTCTTCTGTGGGGCTTGCCTTCTCTTCCGGAAGATGGACGGGTCAGACCTGCCTTCAAGCTCTGGCTGACCCAGAGCATGCCAGGTTGGACCCATCCCCAAGGACATCTTGGTTGTGGGAAGGCCCTTTCCTTTCCCTGCTTCTGAAGGGAGATGGCCCTGGGGGCAATTCCCCCCACACACACACACATTAGCTCCTGTGTCACCTGGGTGTGTCCTGCAGGTGGGCTCTGACGGGGTCACCAGGCACTTGCAAAGGGCTGGGCTAGGGGTCTAGAAGCATCCCGGCAGCCAGAACTGCCTCTGCGAGGGGAGTCCCTGAAACTGTGGGTCTTGACAGGAGTAGAAAGCCTGTCTTGCTCCCTCAGACTGGCTGGTGGTTTCAAACAGTTGACCTTGCAGCCCAATGCAGAACCCACTAATCCAGGTTAGTGGTTCACACCTTTCCCAGAGTTCCTCAGTTGGGTGGTCCAGCATGATGTGAATGGTTACACAGAGACTGGCTGTTCAAAGGCACCCACGGGTGCCTCCTTCTAAATCTATTTCTGAGACTCAAAGCAAAAAATTCTGCCAGGAGTCTCTGCCTCGTGGTTGGGTGAGCTCCTGCCTGCTGTCTGGGGTGGGCAGGAGGTGGGCACGTACCTGGATGTGCCGCTTCAGGAGGCGCTTGCTGAGCACGCGGAGGGAGACCCGCCTGCAGTGGCCCAGGTTGGCCTTGTACTTCAGCAGCAGGTCGGTGGACGTGTCATAGATGGTGTACTTGCTCATGTCCTCTTTCAACGCCTTGAAGTCGTGCTTCAGGTCATGGCCCACCACCAGCTTGCCCTCCAGGAGCTGCAGGATCTGGACAGACATACATGCCCTCCATGTGTCACTGACACGCATGCGCAAGAGCACAACTCACTGGCCCTCTCTGGGCTGAGATTGGACCACAGCCCTGCTCACACTCGGTAGTTTAGGTCTTGCCAGAGGCCCACATGGGAGCCCTCGGACTTGTCGTGGCAACGGTAGCACCCCGGCCCTTACCATACCATCGTTGGTTAATCCCTACAACATCCCACTGCGGGCAACAGATGATGCCTCCCCCAGAAATGGCCACACCCTAATCTCCGGACCCCATGGCCTGTTGGGTGGGGAGGCAAAGGGGTGTCACGCAGTCTCCATGACAGAGTAGACCTGCGCAATCGAGGTTCCTGGGCTGTGAACTCCTGAGAGCGCATCATTGGGTCCCTCCTCCCAGGGACCGCGGGGGAGACTAACTGCAGGCCTTTCGGTTAGCAGCCAAGCACATCTTTCTGACACCATGAAGGTGGCTGATCAACTGACCTTAAAATCAGATCTCCCTAGATCATCCAGATGGGCCCAGTAAAACCACAAGGGGGCTTCAAAAAGTCCATGGGGCATTTTCACTACCCTTTCATTCCATTTTTCCATGAAATGAATTTTTTGAAGCCTCCTTGTGTGTTGAGGAGATGCTGTCTTTCAGATGAGTGCACCTTGGGCCCATTATTGCAGCCACTGTGTCAATCAATCTCGCTGGGGGTCTTCTTCACTGCCCCTCGACTGGTGCAGAGGGTCTGAAAAATGATGCCATTCTCCTGACTGTCTCTGCTGATAATACGTCCGAAGTGACTGATGGGAAATCCCGTTATCCTCACTTCGGGGAGCATGCTAGCTGTACTTCCGCCGACATTCTTCCGGCTGTATCTTCTCCATTCTGCACCAACACTGTGATTCAAAGGTGTCCATTCTTCCTCCGTCTTCCTATTTGTTATTGAGGTTTTGTGTACAAATGAGGTTACTGAAAATACCCTGGCTTGAGTCGGTGTACCTTAGTCCACCAAGTGACGTCTTTGCTTCTGAATGCATCCTTTCATCTCTCGATGGCTGCTTCCATGAATGCTGACTGTGGATCCAACCAATATAAAATCCCTGACCACTTGAATCTTTTCTCTCTTGCTTGTAGTGTCCAGCGGTGAGGCCTGTGTTCTTGATGTTGAGGGTGTAGCCCATACCGAAGGCTGGAATCTTTCACCTTCATCAGTAAGTGCTTCAAGCCCTCTTGGCTTTTCAAGACTTGTGCGTGCAGATCCTAAGTTGTTCGTGAGTCTTCTGCCACTCCCGACGCGGCTTCTCCTTCACGTAGTCCCCTTCTCCGGTTAACCGACCTGCGCAGGTTTCCTCAGCACACAAACTGGACGAGTGTGGGGAAAGGATACAACCTGGATGCACAGCTTTCCTGACCTTCAGCCATGCAGCAGCCCCTGCGTGTGTTCCAACTGTTTCCTCCTGGGCTCTGTACAGGTGCTGCATGAGCACAGCTAAGTGTTACGGAATTTCTGTTCTTTGCTACCTATAATTTGTTATGGTCCACATGGCCAAATGCCTTCTCAGAGTTACCATTCCTGAGTTATTACGATTTTAAACACGTTCAGAAGGTCCTTGACATTCCTCTTACATGTTGCTACTTAACTATCCCTGTGGGGGGAGGTCAGATGCGCAGGCATTCCCTCCTCTGAAGGCAATCGGTTGCCAGACTGCTATCTCATCCCACCACGGGTGAGCCTGCTCCCTGCCTCTGGGGACAATGGACAGGCTCCTGTAGGCGGAGTTTTCACCCTACTGATAATGGTTCCTATGGAGACCCAGAGACCAACCCCTAGACTACCCACTCATTGCTGTGTAACCTATAGTGCAGCTCCTCCCTGTGATGTATGTCTCTACCTGTAATTAGTGGGCTGGCTTGCCCCCAAAAGGTATATAGGTGTGAGTCAGCAATATAGATTTCTCTCTGACTCTGAGCTCCTTGCTGCTCACTCCCTGGTCACTCCCCTCTCCCTTGTTCCCTTACCCTCCTTCCCTTCCCCCTCTCTCCACATGGACCACCAAGCTGGGCTGAGGTGAGCAATGCTTCCATGTGATATGTCTGACTGTATTATTGTAATATCTCTCATGCTCTCGATGACTTTAATATAATACTTATATATCTCAACCGTACAATTGTGCACTACTGAACCCAGAAGTAGTATTACTGAACCAGTGAGTTCTAGTAGCGGGTGGGGCTGGCACCCCACTCCCCCGTGCCAATTTTTTAATTTAATACTATATATCCCCACTGCCACTGCATCGACACTGACTCATAGGGACCCTAAGAGGCAGGGTGGAACTGCCCTGTGAGATTCTAAGGCTGTAACTGCTTACACGGTAGCTGAAAGCCCATCTTTCTCCCAGAGTGCCTGATGTCTTTGAACTGCTGACCGTGTCCATCACAGCCCAAAGCATAATCTCTACGCAACTAGCTGCCATCGAGATGGTTCCGACCCGTAGTGACCCCATGCACCACAGAACACAGCCTGGTTCCGCGCCATCCTCACAGCAACAAAGGGGATGGCGCTTGCCAAGGAGTGGCACACGTTGGCTGTAACAGTAGGCTCAGGCCTGGGAGCAACGGTGAGGACGGCCTCTCACTAGGCCAGACCTAATTCCACTCTCCTTGGAGAAGGATCAGGCGATGCCAAGCCTAAGGATTCCAGTTGGCACCGTAAGTTAAGCATTGGGCTACCAACCACAAGGCTGGATCCCTGGTGGTGTAGTGGTTATGCATTGGGCTGTTAGCCACAAGGTTAGCAGTTTGAAGCCACCATCTTCCTCCAAGGGAGAAAGACGTCTTTCTACTCCTAGGAAGTTACAGCCTCAGAAACCCACAGGGGAAGTTCTACCCTGGCCTGTCCGGTGGCCGTGAGTCTAGTCCCTCAGAGGTGTACATACCTGAAGACACAACAGAGCAGTTCTATTCGGCCTTATAGGGCTACTATGAATAGGAATCGATCCTATGGCAGCGGGTTTAGTGATGTGATCCCCCAGGCCAGGTCACCTCCCCAAGGCTCTCACTGTCTCTTTTTCTTTCACTGTCTCTTGTCTCTCTGTCTTGGTCTATCTCTGCTTCTCTTGTGTGTGTATTATGCTCTGTCTCTGTCTGTCACTGTGTGTCTTTCTCGGTTCATCTCTCTATCTCCTTCTCAAAGCCACTGTGCTGGAAGGGCCACATGGGGAGAGATGCCCAAGAGGCCTGGCACCTCCCATGTGGGCGCAAACTTACCCAAGGGTTCAACCTCAGCTGAGTGAAACAGAGACAACCCGTCCCCTGCCGTCCCTGTCTAAACTACAGCTTCGGGGAGCAAAATAAATACAGCGTTTTCCCACTAATGTGCTAAGCACTGGGAGACCCCTGGAATAGTCCCGCAGTGGAGGGTCAGAGCCTGGGTTCAGACACAGCTGGCATGCTGAGCCCTGTCCACTTGTCACCATTATGTTGGACTGGAAAGGCAGGCCTGTCAGGTCTCCACTGCCAAGGTTTCAATGGGACCCTGGACATTCCCCAGCCCTCTCCCCTCTGGCCTTCCCTTTCCTGGTGGCCTCCAGACAGCCTCCTAAGCTCTGTCCTCAATAGGCCAGTGATCTTCCTTTAACATGGCCAGTGCTGGGAGGGATGGAAGGCAGGACATGAACCTAGAACAGGGTGGGCTGTACCGGGAAAGGGGCAGAGCTACCATGGGACAGCGTTCTGACAACCTTTGTCTCTCTCCAAGCACAGATCAGTGCCCACAAAGGGACTTCTGGGTAGCTAAGCCCTGTAGCATCCTGCTTTTCTTTCCAGGTGGTTTGTAGCCTCCTGGGACATCATATTGTCTCCCTATACTCTCTCCTTAGGTGACCACAGGGTCATTATGGCCATGGTACTGAAGAGGAAGCTGAGGCTCAGAGAGGGAAGTGACTTACTCAGGTTACAGTGCTGGGAGCAGGTCTGCCCACCCACAGTCTTGTTAGTGCTGGGGGTGGGGGTGGGGGGGTGCTGTCCACTGGGCTTCAGTCAACAGGCAGTTCATTCTACTAGACTGTTCAGTCAACAGGCAGTTCATCCTACTAGACTGCTTGTCATGGATTGAGTTGTGTCCCCCTAAAATGTTGAACTTGGCTGGCCCACGATTCCCAGTGGCTTGGCAGTTATGTAATGATATAGTTTGTCAGTTACATAGTGTTCCAATGTCATAACATAATGATATAATCACCCCCAATGCAGTGATCTGATGTGATCTGTTCATTGGTTTTAAGGAAGTTAAGGTGAGATAAAACTTCCCCGTGTTGGGGAATTTCCTGGGGTGTGGCCTGTGTCACCCTTTATCTGACAGAGAAAAAGGGAGTGAGGGACCTGACCACCCAGAAAGTAGAGCCTGGAGTGGACGGAGGGTTCCTGCTTAGATGGATGTTAGGGCACATGGAGATTCCTGAGGAAGGCTGGGCTCACAGATTCACAGATGTCGAAAGGACACGGGCTCTCTCCTTTCCTGGGGCTGACAGAGAGATTTTGAGAGAGAAATTGAGCACCTTCCTCGGAAGCTGGCGTGCTGAGTGTGTGAGGGATACACTTCTGTTGGTTATAAACACTCAGGTGCGGTGTTCCTGATAC